CCTCTAGACGGGCGGAAGCCTCCCCCCGGCGGTCCCCCGTTTCCCCGCGGCCGCTCCGCTGGAGGTCACTGAGTCCCGCCTCCTGCCGCCGCGCCTCTAGTCCAAACAGCCCAGCGGGTCGTGCTTACGCCTTTCCCGCAGCACGGCTGCCTCGGAGGGCTAATCACACCGTCTCCCTGTTGCCCGTTTGACCGCCCGCTCCCCGGAACCCCCCAGGGTCCGTCACCGTCTCCGTGGCAACGGCCACCCCCTCCCAGGAAGAGGCCGGGGCCTAGTTTATTCCAAATTTTATCATCTTTTTAATTTAAATTCTCTGAATAATTAATTCTCTGTCTCACGTGGACTTGGGGGAGGTCCAGAATGCGGGTCCTCGGGGCTGGGGGCGGAGACCGGGTATGTACAGGGTCCCCGTCCCCCCAGCGTCCCGCCGTTTTCCCAGAAGGAAATGCCCAGTAAGGGCAGGAGGGGTGCCAGTGTTTAGGAAAGGGCAGAAACAGGCCCCTGGGAGCCTGGCTAAGTGACACACCACCCTCGACCCCGGGAATGGGGAGGATGCTGGGAATGTGGGAAGCACAGAGGGCAGATCTATATACAAGGGGCCTGGGTGGGGTGGGGGTCTGCAGGAGGGGGAGGAGCGAGGCACACGCAGAAGCATGCTGTCCACCCCAGGCCCTGGCGAGGGGCACCCCACTCGTCACACGCCCCCCTCGTGCCAGGCGGAGAGGGAGAGGAGTGGAGTGGGGGCCGGAGGGCGGGTCCTGGGCCCGGTGGGGCGGGATCACCGCTTGAAGCGGTAGGTGATGGGAAGCAGCAGCTTGCTCTTCTTGAGGGCCTGCACCTTCTTGAGGGTCTCGTCGTCCAGGGCCAGGAAGCAGCGGCGCGAGTACTCGAGCAGACGCTCCTTGGAGGGGTCGAACTCCCCCACCTCCGCCAGCTTCTCGGGCGCCACGATGAGCAGCTCCGCGATGGGCGTGGTCAGCGCCACGGTGTTGCGGTCCACGCGGTGGTGCTCGAAGGCGCGCGACATGCTCTTCAGCTTCTGGAAGGTGCCCAGGATCTTCTTGTAGCGGCAAAGGACACCGTCTGCGTCCTTCACTGCAGGGCCAAGGAGGGGGGATTAGAGGCGGACGGGGGGAGATGGAGGTAGACAAGGGAGGCAGATGCTGAGAAAGTGGGACAGAAACGAGGTGGGGAGGGGGAGAGGCGTGCGGACAAGAGACAGAGGGGGTCAGGGGCCCAACAGAGCAAAGGAATGGAGGGAGACTGGAAGATATGGGCAAGGAGCCCAGTACAGGAATAGCCAGAACAAAATCAGAAAGAGGAGTAAAGGCAGGTGAACCGAGTTAGAGCAGGTGCGGGAAATAGAGGCAGAATTTGGAGGAGGGAAGTCAGAGGGAGGCCCCAGGGGAGGTGAGGAGGACAGGAACTATAGAACGGGTCTGAGGGATGAGCGCCCAGGCCTGAGCCATCACCCCCTGTTCCTGAGGTTCCAGAGGCCTGGGGAAGGTGGGCCAAAATGCAAAGACTAAGCCAGGACCACAGATAGGGGAGGGGACACAGCAAGTCCCCACCCAGGCCCCCTCCTACTTCACCCCCTACTCCTTCCTCACCCCGCTGTCTCTCCCGAGCCTTGGGCTTCCCGAAGCGCCTCTGGCCAGCGCCTCCCTTCTGCTTCTGCCTCTTCCTCTCCAAGTTACTGCCTTCTTCAGACACTCCACTGAGCGAGGAGGCAGCTGACTCAGGGTCTGAGGCATCACCGGCTGCTCCACTCCGGCCGTCACCCTCAGCCCGCCGGGGCCCAGGCTTCACACGGCAGTGGTCCTCTGGAGAGAGGTGGGAGAAAGACACACATTAACTACAGAAACACAAAAGAGGAGGGAGCAAGAGGCCTGGCTGCAAGGTGGAGATGGATGTCACATCACATAGGTCCCCAGGAGGGGCAGGAAGGGCTGTATAGATGCTTACTTAGGTCCCTATCTAGACGGCTGAATACAGGACAATCAGCTGGGACCTGAGGGCAGAAGTCATGGGTGGGGCTTGATAGAGGATGCTCAGCTGACTCATAAACTTGGTGGCAAGAGGTCTAGGGAACAGTCAGCACTGGACTGGGGACCTCAGGAAAGTCTGACTATGTGGGGTTCCCAAAGTGGAGGAGGGTTTTTCTGGGGACCTAGTGGGACCTCCGGAAGAGTGCACTCCTGACACCCCAGAGGCAGGCAAGGTCTTATTGGGGTGTGGGGGGGTTAAAATCCTGAGCAAAATCTCAGGCTCCGGGTCTAGTGGGTGGGGAATGGCAGGGGCAGCCTCCACCTGGATGAAGGAGTGCTGAGGCTCTGTGCAGGGACCCCAGAAAGTAAGCTGGGGGAAGTCAGTGTTGGGGTTCCCGGGAGGTTCCCATCGTTGCGGAGAAACAGCAGTAGGTCCCAGCCACCCAGGCTTTTGGAGGAATTCAGAGAGAGGAATGTGGGAGTTTGAAACGGAGCCAGCCGGGGGCTGAGCACCAAGAGGGGGAGCATACAGGTAGGGTTCTCCAAAACATGGCTGAAGATTGGGCAAAGGAAAGCCCTGTCTGGGGAAAGGGATAGGGCACAGGATCCTGCTGATCAGCAGAGGCAGGAAGGAAGCTGGGCTTGGGGTCCCAGAGACACCATGGGACTAAGCAGGAGATAAAGATGCCAAGTCCCTACTGGGCCACCCAAGCTTGAGTGTGTGGGTGAGAAGGGTCTGGTGTCCCTGAGAAGGGTCAGAGCTGGGTGCCGGGGCCCAGGAGTGGGTCAGGGAGGGGACTGGTTCATGGGCACCCTCACCTGCATCTATGCGTGCAGAAGAAATGAACTTGTCCAGCTGACACCGCAAGAAGTCCCTCTCCTCCTCCAGGTCCTCAATGCGCTTCTGCAGCCAGGAGTTCCTCTCCAAGGCCATGTGCAGCTGGGCCCTGATGCCATTCATCAGGGCCACAGTTGGGGACGCAGCCTCCGGAGGCTCTAGGGCAGCCAGGGGACCCTGGTCACACTCTAGCCTCAAGGGCCCTACACCCCAGATGACTTGAGTGCCTCCCTGCCCTCCCCCACCCCCAGCTCACCCTTGAAGTCTCCCCCAGAGGGGCTCAGACTGTAAAAGAGCTGGGAGTCTACGTGGGGTGTCTCCTCGAAGGGGATAGAGATCTCCAAGGCCTCACCGTCCTTCACTAAAGAGAGGGGGGTTCAGCTCAGGGAAGTCCCCTCATCCCTGGGACCAGCCCCCCACCCTGGGGAGAAGAGGGCAAGCATGAGCAGAGTGGCGGTGGGCCCAAGGGTGGGGCATGGCCCCAGCTTCCTCACCTGTCCTCCGGCTGTTCCGGTCATTCATGACGTGGGCTCCCGCGGACCCAGGCAGCTGAGCGCCTCAGAGGCACTGGATGGAAAGAGCAGCCACAGATGGACTCCTGGGGACATCCCAGGAGGTGGGGCCCGATTCCTCAGGACTGGGGGAGGTGCTGATGGAGGGGAGACCCAGAACCCTCAGGACTGAGGGAGGACACCTGGGGGTCCAAACTCCTGGACTGCCACACAGGGACTCGGGGAAGGAGAGGGGTTCCGGTGGGGCGCACAGAGGGGACATCCTGGCCAGAACGAGTCTCCTCCGGGCCAAATGCTGCTAGAGGTGGTGGGGAGACCACCCTAACTTCCAGGAACAGGGTGGGGGCCCAGCCCACGCGCGGCGCCTCCCCCACCCACGGGAACCCACGCGCTCCCCCGCACTCGCGTGAGCAAGTACGACCCTTTCCCCGTGGAGGGAGGCTGGGAGCGTGCGCAGTGTGGGGGAAGGTCACGCGTGGGGTGCGCCCCCCCCTTTTGTCCCGTGGGTGGGAGGGGGAGCGAAGGCTTCGAGGGCTCCCAGCCCTGGTGCGCCAGG